GCACCACAGATGCCCTATGATCCACCTTCAAAAAGATCACAGCCAGAGAAACTCGATGGGGTTTTTCCACTCTGTAATGCATGGGGGTCACCATGAGAAGGCATTGACGTAATGCCAATGGCTTTATTTTATTTTGTGCCAAGGCTATAGTTCAGTTAGCTACTTGAAATGGCTCTTCTAGGAGCCCTGGTGGTTCTGTTCGCTCTGCATTGGGCTGATAATCACAAAATCAGTGGTTCAAACCCACCAGCCTCCCCAAGGGAGAAGGCAGAACCTGTCTGCTCCCACAAAGATTCATAGTCTTGGAAACCCACAGGGGCAGCCCTGCTCTGCCCTACAGGTTCACTGTGAATTGGGATCAATCAATGCCAGTGAGCCATTAGCTTTGAAACTTCCATCAGATGACTGAGTGGGTAAGACTGTGTAAGTGTGAGGGGTTTGTAGCTCATCACACGAACAAGATAGCTTACTAATGATCTAAATAAGGTATGTGGCACCTGTGTGAAGTAGGACCATGCAGATAAGGTGTAAAGGACCCTAACATGGGTTTGGGTCAATGTTGCCATCCTATGAGGCTTAAAATAAGCTAATCCAGAGGAGGAAATAGGAATCTCACTACTATTAAAAAAGAATAGCCAGGAATAGAGTGCATCCTTTGGACCACACATCCCTGTGCTGGGTCTCCTCAATCCAGAGACTCGGAGCTGTGACACAGAAGATCAGAGACAGCAGAGAAGTGGGAAAGAAAGCGTGGCAGCTAATCAACAGGCAGCAAGATGTTGCTCCAGGCTTCCCAGCCCATGTAGTGAAGAATTCCAGTGCCTTCAGGAGGGAGCATAGCGAGTTGAGTGGGATCTCTTTTCAGGGAGCTAGGTTTGCCCACCAATGGAGCTGGATTTTAGCATCGTCAGGCCAAGGGTCAATGGCAGAGTGGGCAAGTATTGGCAGATCTAAAAGACTTTGTAGCACTTGCTTGGGCCGTCCAAAGGGCTGTGTGGCTGAGGCACTAAGGACCAGAGAACAGAGTGCCTTTGAGCGTAGCTTGAGAAGAAGCTGCCCTGGTGAAAGAACTGTATCCTGAACATTTCTGATTCTTCATTCTAACCTGTTGCCTTCCCTACCAAGCTCACAATGACTGTTGTCTGTGACGTCTGTGTGGCCATTGCAATGAGTCACTGGGAGGAGCAGAGAATTCGAGGGTGTGGGAGGGACGGCTGGTGGAAAGCCTGGAGTAAGGCTGATAGTACTTCTGTCTTCCCCGCATGAAATCAGGACATGTCAGACACAGACTCTAGGCCATTCTTACAAAGACACACAAAATGTATCCTTCGTGTCATGACCAACTATCGCCATCAACTCAATCAAAAACTACCTCACATCACAGGAGGTCTCAACTTCGGCTGACATGAGATTCAACTGGAATGCTAAAAAAAAGAAAGTACAGATGGCTCAATCTAAGCAGTCTTCTTTTTAGGATCTAGTTTAAACCTTGGGGATATTAGACATTTTTCTGATAACTCGATGTAGAACAATGGGATGTTGAGAACAACTGCAAAAAGAGACTTTAGTACCTACCAAAGCCCCCAGTGAACGGAACAGAACAGAAAAAAAAATATGGAAAGTTGGGACCTTGTGTCTTAGGCTGGATTCACTAGAGAACAAAATCAGTGACATTTATGAGAAATGTATATCAAGAAAATGCCTCACACAGTTTGCTGTAGAAGAAGGCAAGCCTCTCAGTCTGTGGACCAAATGTTGGAC